TTGCCCCCAAAAGGTGACTCATGCAGAATAATCCCCCCTTGAAGAACATCTAACTTTTCTACAGGCAGATAGTGAATATCTGTTGTCTCAGTTAATCCACACAAATGATCTCCAGAATTTGCAAACAGCAGCTCTGAGAAAACAACCTATCCCGCTCTTCAGTTCATGAGTGCAGAGAAGTGTGAGGGTCGGAGCGCAGGTTCGTTGGACTCCTGAGGCCCAGCAATCAACCTCCCTGGATGCACAGCCTCCAGAGCAGGGCCCTGCTGGGGGCAGGCGGTATAGAGAGCCAGTGGCCCAGGATGGTGGGGAGAGTCTGGGGGCTGATTTGGATTCGCATGGTACCAGGCATGCCTGCTATGTGAAAACCTACGTCGAATCCAAATCTGCCTTTCAGACTCCTCCTCGAATCCTTCAATTGCTGTTTTTCTCAAATTTCTCAAAATATAATGTTACTCTAGTTTGGGTGTGGTGGCCCACACCTGTAATCCCAGTGATTTAGGAGGCTGAGGCAGGAGGATTGCTTGAGGCCAGGAGTTGGAGACCTACCTGGGCAGCACAGTAAGACCTTGTCTCATAAAAAAAAACATGTTACACTTAAAGTTGTAAGGTTGGCCAGTGGAATATAAAAACAAAGAAACAGAGACAATGGTGCATAATGGCGTGTGTGTGTGTGTGTAAATTTATATATATATGAAGTATGTGATATATAATATATAATAATAGATATGAGATATGTTATATACATATATGTTATATATATGAGAGAGATGGCCCTTTGAAATCCTTGAAATATATATGTATTTTTGGTTAGGGTTTGGCTTGGGGTTTGCGATATGGCCCTTTCTCTGACCATGAGCAATTCTTCTGAGCTCTCTAATCCTTGATAGTGCTACCTTTGAAATCCTTGAAATACATCTATATTTGGTGGAGTGTGGGCTGCATATGCCAGAGTCCACCCAGGGAGGCCTAAAGTACAAGCTGGTGCCACCCTTACCCAAGCTGCTGGGGTTTCCAGTCCTCCACCTTCACCAAACGCAAGCTTGCTGTATCTTCCTGAGTCTGGGCTTCCATCGATGCCCTTGTGGGACCTTCGTTACCTTCTTCCAGGTCTTAGAAGAGGTGGATTTGTGTTCGCTTCGCACTGTCTCTTCCTAGCTTTTGTTAAATCACATTCAAAAACGCGCACACAAATACACATATCCACAAGGAAAACACGGTCTCTCTAGGTGTGGCATGCCGTATGTGAATGTGAATACTACACCTGAATGATCTGAATGTAAGATTTTGAAGCTGCAAACCACTCTGCACGTGTTCTTAAGCCACCCGTGTCTGCGCCTCCAGAGCCTGCCTTCTCAGGCAGATCTATTTCCTCACTTTGGGCAGGAAACCCCAGCAGGGAGAGGGAAAGGTTTTGTGTCTCCTGAAGTTCTCGACTTTCTGTGTCCCACATATGGGAAGCCTCCCACTGACGTCCAGTGGATGAGTCTGCTGTGCCTGTCAGCTTTGTTCACGCGGACAGGCCAGCTTGCGGAGGGCGCTGACAGCAGGATTTAGTAGGAAATGATCCTCCTTACTCTGTGGAAAACCCAAATGCTATAATCCACATTTATTTTTTCTGGGATAGTTCTGTCCAAAAAGAAATTTTCCAATATTTGCTTTAGTGTGTCGGTGTGCATACATGTGCACCTGGGTGTGCGCACGTGCATGAAGATGTGTGTGCAAATGTGTATGTGTGTATTTGTACATGTGTGTGTGCATATGTACATGTGTGTGTGCATGTGTGTACATGCATGTGTACGTGTGTGTGTGTGTGTATCTCTGGAGAGAACTTCGCACACTGGCTCATCTGTGAGCATTCCGTTCTGCTGATAGATGGGAGAAGAGTAGAGAGAGCAGAGGCCCCGACTGGTCCTTACCCAAGTGTTGGCATCACCTGCCTGTTTCCTGTTCTGCTGCTCTTCTCTTCGCTTGGTGTTTCCAAATCCAAGCTGAATCTCTCCAGGCAACACACCTCCTGGGGGCGTGGTGCATAAAAAGGCGATGGGGCCTGGATGGTCCACGGCCCCCTATAGGGACTTCTATTGGCTCCTGTCTTGTCCAGCACTCTGCAGGGTGAGGCATCTGAGGCCACATGTGAGCAACTTCCATCCCCTGCTGGCTCCTCTAGGGCCCCCCACAAACTCCCCGGCCTGTGAGTTTAATGACCTGTATTGGATGCGATGCCGCCACTCCTATTTTCTCTGTCCTCACTTGGGTTATTTCCTTCCATTTCTTTCTTTTTTTTTTTTTCAGATCCAGAGGTCATTTGATTCTTTGCCAACCTTAACATTCACACTGAAGGTTCCGCACAGAGACGTAAGTTGTGCTACAAGTATATTATAAAACACCAAATGTTAAGTTGTTCACTTACAATTAACGCTTAAAAATTAAATTTCTAAGATGTATATTTTAGTACACTATGTTTTTCACACTTTGTGTGAGAATCTAATGACTTTTTTTTTATAAAAAATAAAACCATGCTAATGGATACATTCTTCTCACTTGCAGAAAGTGTGTCTTTTGTTTTAATTGACTGATCTGAAAGCTATACTGATAAGCAAACTCTAGTGAAAATCAAGTGTTCAGTGCATTAAAAAGTGCCACTTTTCTCATCAGGACCTACAAGGTACCATGTGAAATGACATGGCATGCAGACAACAGTGAGAAACCTGTAGTCGTAACAGAACAAGAAAAAGGGCTGTGATGCACACACAGTTAGAATAAGAAAAAAAAAATGGGGGGAAATGAGGATAATTAGGAAATTGAAGCAGCAGAATTTCTCTCTAAATTCGGCAAGATTCAGCTTTGCAGGCTGGAAAAAGTTTCCTTCCATTTTTCTTTCTTCATTGTAACTTGTAGTAGTGATTACGGAGCCAGAGACACATGGACATGTTAAATCCACCAAATTTAATGTTTACATAGAAAGAGCAATCATTCCTAAGAAATGATTGGGCCTTGGTGTTATTACACCTATAGGATCCTGTGGAGCTGGCTTTGGTTAGGCCTTGGCTTGGGGTTTGAGATACGGCCCCTTTTCTGATCATGAGCAATTCTTTTGCTCTCTCTACCCTTCAATTCAATTTGTTGAAAGCAAAGAAATAGAAGTGATTTGACTTAATAATGGGTGTTTTACTCAGGTAATAATATCATTCCTTTTAATTTACAGAAATTCAACTAAGAAGGCTTTACCCAGACATAATAAATGCCTATTTCTATTGTAAGTTGACAAATTAGAATTGTACATATTTATGGGGCACAAAGGGAAGTTACAATGTATGTGTACAATATGGAGTGATGAAATCAAACTAATATATCCATCACCTCAAATACTGATCATGCTTTGTTGTGAGAATATTTAAAATTTGATATCTTAGCAACTTAAAAATGTATAATACACTATTATTAATTAAGTCATCATGTTGGGCAATAGACCTCAGAACACTTAACATTTTTAAAATGTCCCTACTACCCAAAGCGATATACAGATTCTGTGTTATCCCTATCAAAATTATAATGTCATTTTTCACAGAAATTTCAAAAAGCATTCTAAAATTTATGTAGAACCACAAAAAGACCCTGAATATCTGGCAATTTTGAGCAAAAAAGAACAAAACTGGAAACATCACACTACCTGATTTTAAACCAGCACAAAGCTATAGTAATGAAAACTGTAAGATACTGGAATAAAATAGAAACCTCGACCAATGGACAGAATAGAGAGCCCAGAATTAAACCCACCCATTCATGGCCAAATCAGTCTTAACAAAGGTGCCAAGAACACACAATAGGAAAAGGACTCTTCAAAAAAAAGGATGCTAGGAATCCTGGATATCCACATTCAAAGAAAGAAATGAGATGCTTACGTCCCATCATGTAGACACATCCCCAAAATGGGTGAAAGACTCAAACCTAAGACTGCAAATTGTAAGACAACAAGAGGAGAACATAGGGGCGAAGCTACGTGGCAATGGTCTGGGCAAGGAATTTTTGGATTTGACCCCCAAAACTCAGGCAACAAAAGCAAAAGTAAACACATGGGGTTGCATCAAACAGAAAGACTTCTGCAAGGTGAAGGAAGGAATGAACATAGTGAAGAGACAGCCTACAGATGAAGAGAAACTGTTTCCAAGCCGTAGAGCTGAAAAAGGGTTAATATCCAAAGCACGTGAGGAGTTCAAACAACTCAATAGCAAGAAAATATAACCTTATGAAAAATAGGCAAAGGACCCAAATAGACATTCTTGAAAGAAGATGAATAAATAGCCAACAAATATATTTTGAAAATCTCAACATCATGAATCATCAGAGGAATGCACTTTAAAATTCCAATAAATGTCACCTCACTCCTGTTAGAACAGCTCTTCTATCAAAAAGACAGAAGATCACAAGCCCTGGAGGAGGATGTGGAGGAAAGGGCACACTGCCTGTTGCAGCTAGGAGCAAAAATGAGTGCAGCCATTACGGAAACTGTATGGCGATTCCTCAAGTAACCGAAAACAGAATGACCACACGACCTAGCAAGCCCACTCCAAGTGTAGATCCAAAGATCTAAAACCTGGACATTGCAGAGACATCGGCATTCTCATGTTGATGTGGCAGTAATCACAGTAGTCGAGTATGGAATGCATCCAAGTGCCCGTCCACAGATGAATAGATTAAAAGATGTGATGTATGTGCATGGCAGAATACTTCTCAGCCATAAAAAAGAAGGAAATCCTGGATTTTGCAACAACATGGACGAACTTCAAGGACCCTGTGCTAAGTGAAATAATCCAGGGACAGAAAGACAAATACTCTAAGATCTCACTTATATGTGAAATCCAAAAAATAGTTGAGCTCATAGAAGTAGAGCAGAACAATGGTTACGAGAGCCTGGTGTGGTGCAGGGACTGGGGAGATGTTGGCTCAGTGGCTGTTTCAGTTTGACAGGAGAAATACGTGTTTGAGATCCACTGCAATTCATTTTTTCAAATAAAATTTTCATATGGGGGCAATTCATGAGCTACTTTTCTTGATTAGGGAAATCCACTCAAAATTAGTCCTGATCCTTAGACACATATGTGAACACATAGTTTTTGCACCCTGCTAATGATTGAAAACAAGCTTATCTTTCCATCACGTGTACACATATGCTCCCTTATTTCAATTGCTTTAGAGAATCAAGGTACCTACAATTATAACAGTGATAAAATTTTAAAACTGAAATTCAGGACCATGACATTGACGTCCCTGTGAACTGCCGCACGACTTGAGTTAAATTTCTGGCTTTTCTACTTGCCTTGGGAAATTTTCTTGGCCTCTCTGTGAGGCCACAAATATATTTTGAAATTCTCAACATCATGAATCATCAGAGAGGGAAATTTTCTTGGTCTCAGTTTTCTAATCTGTGAGACAGGGATCTAGTTCACAGGCTGAGGGAAGATTAAATCAGATTATTTTCTACATTGTGTAGCACATTGCCTGGCAGGCAGGAAGCACCAAATAAGGATCTCTACTTTCTCCTCTTCTTTATAACAATAATACTAATCATAGTAATATTATAATAATAATGGTTATTAAAATGAAAGCTGAAATGTAATAAGATAATACATACACAAATAAAATTCCTCTTGAATTCTGGAGCCATATGAAATTATTTTTATGGAATCCAAGAGTGTACCCTAAAGCAGAGGTCCCCAACCCCCTGGCCATGGATCAGTACCTGGCTGCAGGAGGTGAGCAGCTGCCAGCAAGCAGAGCTTCATCTGCATTTACAGTCACTGGCCATCATTCGCATCACTGCCTGAGCTCCACCTCCTGTCAGATCAGTGGTGGCATTAGAGTCTCATGGGAGCCCAAACCCTACTGTGAACTGTGCATGCGTGGGATCTCTGCTGTTGCACACTCCTTATGAGAATCTAATTCCTGATGATCTGTCACTGTCCCATCACCCCTAGATGGGACCATCTAGTTGCAGGAACACACGCTCAGGGCTCCCACTGCTTCACATTATGGTGAGTTGTATAATTATTTCACTGTATATTACAATATAGTAATAGAAATAAAGTTCACAATAAATGTAATGTAGTTTAATCATCCTGAAACCATCCCCGATGAGTCTGTGGAAAAATTGTCTTCCACAAAAGCAGTCCCTGGTGCCAAGAAGGCTGGGGACCACTGTCTTAAAGAGATAGACTCATAATACAGAGCAGCCTAAGCCAGATTAGGAGAGCTGTGTGAAGTGTAGTAAGCATGACCATCAGGAAAGCAATCGCTGGCTTAGCATATCATCCCTAAACGGAAATTCACAAGTGCATGAGCACCTGATTGCAGGGCGTGGTGTGAAGTGTTGTTCCGTGCTTCATATTTCAGGATGAGACACTGTGGAGACAATAATGATGATTTAACATTATGTAATGATTTTCCTGAGCAATGCTAAGAGGGCCAGGTAGTTGTTTAGTAAATCGAACTTCATGAGAAAGGTCACTCATTTTCCTAAAATTTACAACCTTTATATTTCTGTGCTGATCTGTTTCCTTGCTCCACACACACTCACTAGCCAGCTGCTGCATGCCTGCTTCGCACCTGAGATCATGACATTTTGCTTCATCGTCACACACTCTGAAACCTCCAGGAGCCGTGAAGCTGACCTCGGGTCACCTCCCGGCACAGAGGAGGTTGATTCTTCTGTAGATTTTCTGACTCTACATTCATTGCTCTTTCTAGAAGAAGATGGTTATGACACAATATGGTTGTATATTTTAAATTTCAAGTTCCAAGGCAGTAAAAGAAAAGAGATATTTAAAAATCTTCCTTCTTTCCAAATCTCATTTTATAGTTTTGTTTGCTGTTTCTTGTCTGAAATCCATCTGGTAAGTACTTGTTAGGGTAATGCTAACCTTATACCAATCTATGAACTGCTCAAAAAATACTGTTGTCCTCTAAGCTAAGTCCTCTAAGATAACACATATCTTGAATAATAGTGAAAGAGCTTGGACACGTGATTCTGTAAAATTAAAAGCACCTAAGAAGCATTATAAAGTAAATTTGAAATGATCTTACTAAGAATAACAAAGGTTTCAGGGGAAACATGAATTTCTAAATGGCCTTCTATTTATCACTGAACACACAAGACACAGGACAAGCCCTAAATACAAAAATAATCAGACACTTTAGCTTTACTATAGCCAGTAATGAAAAAGCTGCCAATAACATCTTCCTCTGCAGCTGATTTAGTAAAAGTTTATGAAGAGAATAAATTTTATGTTTCAGTAGACATGACAATTATGTTCTAGATGCTAAGAAGCAAGACAAACAGAGATCAATATCCTCCAATGCATACCTGGATTGTGTCAGCTTCCAGTTACAGTCGTGTCTGTGGGGAAAGAGCAGAGAACAATGAGAATTCCTAGTCTTGATGTCACAGAATGGACAAACCATTTCAATTCCGAAGAGAAATACTTACAGTTGTACTGTGCAAAACCTTTCTGCATTTGATAAACACTGTAATGCGTGGCAGAAATCGTATCTATTTTCCGGACTATATACCCAGCACAAGGCAAACTGACTAAGAGGGTTATGCTGTGGCTAACCATTGCCTCACCATGAAACGAGAATAAGTTTCTTCATGGTTATGTTCATTTTGATCTCTGAGAGTATAAAGCAATTCCATTTTAGAGCTGCACTGCTACGCAGCACCCCATTTGAGTTTTGCCCTAGGATAATCCTTAAACATAGTTTCAAAGCACATTTCATCCAAATACAGACTGGAGGTTGAATAGCCCAAGATGACAAGCAGGTCCTGCTGTGAATGGTAACAGATGTATGAATGGCATCATAGAAATGTTGAGCTCAACTGAACCTTGGAGATGCAGCCTGGTCACGACACAGGCGTGAAAATGGAGAGAGGCAGAGTGAATGTGAGCTCACCCTGATAGCTTGAGGTTGAGTTCCTTATTCAGAACCCAGGACTCCTCCTGGGGGAACACCTGATTTCACCCATGATACTATTACCTGATTGGAAGTGTAAACATCTCGGAACAAGAAGAAAATAAAATACAGACTAATCTGAAACTCGTTTTCTGAGATGACGGCTGGTCTTGGCTGAGCACCAAATTAAACATGACGGTTACCCCCACCAGGTCTCTCCAGCAGGATGTGTCCGGCAAATTCAGTTAATTATTAGGAAACACACTTGCCTCCGTATTCTACGGAATTTAAGTAGAAGCGGCTGTGAGTCTGGAAAGGTAGTCTGGGTGTTTTTAACGTCTTAGGTGAGGCTGTGTCGGCAGTGTCCGGAGAAAGCAAACACTGCTGGAAGCAGAAAGACGCACTTTGTTTACAAACGTTAAGCAGCGAGTTAAATTTACAGTAGACGCCTTCAGACATTTCTTACTCCCCCCATTTATGAAAGCATTTCTCACACTACGGGGCAGCGCAGGGAGAGCGCGGCCGGGGTCGGTGTTCCTGGGTGGTTCTGCTGGGCATTGCCAGGTTGGGCCGCCTCGAGTCCCTTTTGAAACCATGTGGATCTGGAAGTCACCATGAGCCACAAAAGGCCTACTCTTCTTCAATGCCTTTAAAAAAGATAAACTCAGTGTTATTCCTCAGTAGTGAGTTTACAAAAATTACTGTATCTTGAATTGCGTAATATTAGAATGGGACAATCTCAAGGGATCACTTAGCTGTGTCTCATTTTGGAGGACAGCATCCAAAATTCCAGGTGGTTAAGGGCCATCTCGCATTCACAGAATCACTAGCAGAAACAGCGTGTAGCTCACCGAGAGATGGTCAGGCTGCTTGGCGGAAACGTCACATTCCTCTAGATAAGTGGCGGTCGCCTAACTGGGCATAAGCATGCAAACGGAGCTTAAAGTAACTTAACAGATAGCCATGGTTTTGAAGGAGGCTGTAGCATTTAAAGAGGCAGGTGAGGCCAGGCGCGGTGGCTCATGCCTGTAATCCCAGCACTTTGGGAGGCCGAGGTGGGTGGATCACGAGGTCAAGAGATCGAGACCATCCTGGTCAACATGGTGAAACCCCGTCTCTACTAAAATTACAAAAAATTAGCTGGGCAGGGTGGTGTGTGCCTGTAATCCCAGCTACTCAGGAGGCTGAGGCAGGAGAATTTCCTGAACCCAGGAGGCGGAGGTTGCGGTGAGCCGAGATCACGCCATTGCACTCCAGCCTGGGTAACAAGAGCGAAACTTCGTCTCAAAAAAAAAAAAAAAAAAAGAGGCAGGTGGATGGGGAGTGCTGCTGAATTAGCTCCCATAGTAAGTCGGACTGAAGACTCAGGGCAGGACACAAGCCTGGGATGAGAGCTGAGCTTCGTGCAGCAGATCCACCAGATGTAAAAAAAAAAGACAGTTTCTATCATGATATTTTACAGTTTGTCAGCTGTAAATTGATGACGAATACACTGGAAGTGCAAGAAATGATCTTATTATTTATTATCCTCAGTAACAATAGCATTGTTTGCAATGTGCACATACTGGGCTCCCACTTTCCAATGATTTTCTCACTCAGTTCTGACAAAACTTATGGCTTAAGCTCTATCCACCCAATATGGCACCAACTTTCAGACGTCATGAGTAGAACTGGAGATTCAGGACCCAAATTCAGTTCATCGTGGCACCAAAGCACGCATCTGTAGCATAGATAATGTTCTGCACTATCTATATAGCAGCTACTAACCTAATACCTAGAGAAAATCATGTGTCAGAGGCATCCGGGCAGCACTAGTACTCAATCTGTGCTTTAATTAATGACAATGACGCTCACAAACTTCATGCCCCCCAAGGATATATTTGCCTCCTAAGGGATGACGGCCTCATGTATATAAAACATATATGTATGTATAACAATACACATATATGTTAGAGAGAGAGTGTCTCACTCTGTTGCCAGCTCAAGTGCAGTGGTGCAACCATAGCTCACTGCAGCCTTGAACCTCCCAGGCTCAAGTGATCCTCCTGAGTAGCTGGGACTCCAAGCATGCACTACAGGCTCTCACTATGAAACAAGGTCTCATTATGTTGTGCAGGCTGGTCTCAAATTCCTGGGCTCAAGCAATCCTCCCACCTCAGTCTCTTGTGCTGGAATTACATGCATGAGCCACTGCACCCGGCCAGCCATGTGTACTTTTGAAATAATTTTATTTTTCAAGATTTGAAAATACAGATTCAAGGCTGCATTTATGTTTCCAGGTACAGGGCAAAACTAATGCAGTCTTGAGATCTGTTTTTCTGCAAATCTTAGGGAAATGGTTATTTACGCATTTGCACTGTAATAGATCTATATTCTGCTATGAGTTTAGGCTCTTCACTTTCAAGTCGGAACCAACAGCCTCTGAGGCCAGTGTGCCTGGGGCTCCAGGAGACCGCCCGCCCCACCCACTCATGCGCTGGTCTCTGCGGGTGACAGTCACAGGTCTGGCCCCCACTTTTGTATGTTCACTACAAAAGTGTCTCCTCTGCAGAAGCCTAACCTAGTCGCATCCACTAAAGCATGAGCACATGCAGTAGTTTTTATTCAGTGGCATCATAAAGATAAATACGTCTCCCAGCTCTCACCCTATCACAAGTCAGTCAATGCCAGCATCCACGCATTTAAAATAATATAAAAATTGACGTTTTGTGCAGGGGGTGGTAGTGACCTCACAGAGCAGGATCTGTAAGAACTGAGCTCATAGGAAGCTCCCATAATGGGAAAATTAGCACAGGAGAAAGTCCAAGGGTGGGCACCTTCCTGACTAAATTAAGTAGATTAGGTGAGAGTCTCAAAGGCCATCAAACAGTGAAAGGGGTCTGCTTAGATTGACATGTCTGACAGGTCCCATTAAAATGAACTTTTGACTGACAGACGCCCAGAGAGGAGGCCCTGCTGACCCCATGTTCCGTCCTCCTGCCCGAGGACAACACCTGAGAACACATGTGAAGAGGGTCCTGGGCTGCGATTCATGAGTGGACTTTAGAGATCCCGGTTTTGATTCTGTATTCGCTTCAACAAATATTTTACAACAAACGTTTCCAAGCAAACTGTTGGAAATTGGGATGATTAATTTCATTTTGGAATGTTCAGGGTGACGCTGAGATTGAGAAGTGAGTCAGGTTGTCAGCTGGGCTAACAACAAGTGCTGGACTCTGCCTGGCCCTGTAGTGTGAAAAGCAGCCTCTTTTTCCACGGGGAAGCCACTGGGGCACTGAGGCAGTGGAGGCCGCACCACGCTCTTCGGGGCAGAGCCCGGCTCCACCTGGACTGGAAGGCCTGAGAGTCTGTGGCTGCCTTCACCTGCCTGAGCTTTGCTGGGGCCAAGCGCCCAGTAGTAAGTTCTCCTGCTCCCCCCAGGTAAGCCCCCATCCAACTAGAGCTCCGTCGGCCAGGTCAATGGCGCCCACCTGTTCCTCAACCTGCCAGTCTGTGAAATTCTTCAAACAAGCCAGTCACATCCTACAATGGGCAGGAGCCAGGGACACCCATCCTCTTATTATACAAAGCCTGCCCCCCGCGGTGCTGTGGCTCACTCTGCTCCCCTTCCGAAGATAGGCCTCACAGTGTGCAGGTGGTCCTTTCCTGGGAGGAGGGCTGTGGAACTCACACACTGCTGTCCATCACGACCCACCCTGGCTCAATCTGTGCTCAGCCAGCAGCACTGCAGAGGAAGGGAGACCCCCTCACCACTGGGTGCACAGGAGGGGATCTGCCTCCCACCCGGGAATGGAGGGGAGGACACTGAGAAGTCCTCTCTCTGGGGCTTTTGATTCCTTCATGTTTCCCATCATACCTTCTCTTTGAAGGGTTTCATCACTGCGGGGTTACACCCAAATTGTTTTGGTCATTGCTGCACTTCAAGAGTGATCTCAGAAAATTGTATAAGATCTGTAACTATAGCTCTATCTCCTTGAAATAAATGCATGTTTTTCAAAGACGCTTGTAGATATTCAGATTTCCCAGTGCATGTAACTAATTAATTACAAGTCATTCACCAAGACGGAATCTAATCGAGGTAGTTGGCAGCAAGAAGGAATGAAGTGCCCCAAAGCGTCACTCGTGGTATCCTGCCATTGCCACTGTGAGGCAGCTTTCGTTAATCTCCACGCACAGTGTGCCACGCAGAATGCTGGCCTGTCATGGACAGGTGCCTCCTGGCTGTGGAAACCCTCACCTGAGAAGGTGAGAGCCAGGCCAAGGAGGGGAGATGCCTGATTTGTGCACAGACGGATTTTCCTTCCATTCTGTCTTCTGGGCTCCGAATAGAACAAGATCACCTGGCCTCTGAGGGGACTGCTTTGTCTTTCTTCAAGAAGAAGACTTGGCACTGTTTCATCCTGCTTCCAGCTGCTTCTCCAGTTAGCACAGAGCGGGATTATTCGTCGTGAGTCTCATGGAAACTTTGAATACATTAGCTGACTTCCTTACTCACTTCTCAATCTCAGCGTCACCCTCGATATTCCAAAATGAAATTACTCATCCTAATTTCCAACAGTTTGCTTCCATGTGTGGCTCAGGTAATAGCCAGGCTTCGGGTACATCCAGGCAATATAAAGCTCAGGTACTAGCCAAGCTTCAGGGAGCTGTGTGCTGGCTTAACTGTGCAGTGCGGGCAGTGGAGCGGGGAGCCAGCCCTCAAAGGTGCTTCGCGGGGTCAGTGACTCATCACGACAAGGACCCCGGCCTTCCTGGGGGGAAAAGGTCCAGCAGGCTTCCTCTTCTCTGTCTGCCAGGCACACTCCCGTGTAGATGTGGAGCTAGGGTGATGAGCTCAGCTCATCAATGCAGAGAGAGGAGAAGCAGTCGAATCATTAGGGGGCACCCCGGTACTAATGGGTGAACAGACCTTGATTTGACTGAGAATAATTCACATATCATGAAACGCAGCCTTCTAAAGTGCACATGTCATGGTTGTTAGCGTCCTAGGAAGATGCAACTATCACCACGCCCTAACTCCAGGACGTTCATCTCACCCCCAGAAGGAATCCCACACCCATCAAGTGTCACTGCTCACTCTCCCTCTTCCCTCCCCAGGCACCTGGCAGCCACTCTAATTCACGTTGTGTCTCTGTGGATTTGCCCGTCTTGGGCATTTCATATGACTGGGACTGTGCGGTGTGTGGACTGTGCTCTTCACAAGAACGGGACCGTGCGGCTGTGGACTTTTGTGTGTGGCTTCTTCCTCCTGGGATCCTGTTTCTGAGGCTCATTGCGTTGCGTGTGGGTCAGCGCCAACAGGCTTTCCACTGAGAAGTGCGTTTTCCTCATAGTTTCTGGTGTGGGATCCCCCCCGACGTCTGGCTCTGGAGGGGGACATGACCGGGCTCCAGCTGGACACTGTGGTGGCTGCCCAGAGGTGTCTCCCGTGGCCATGGGGTGCTGCTGTGCACACCTGGGAAGTTGGACCCATCCTGGCTGCAGGGGCTGGGATGGGAGTGAGCACATAGAATAGTCAGCGAATCAGTTAATTCTTCCAATAAGCAGCTAAACTCCTTCTTACCTTAACAGTAATAGCAATCATAATTTCCCCTCTTTATTTCAATTGCAAAGTAGAGCTTAAATAATAAATGACATACTGGAGCTGCAATTTCTATTTACAAGAGTTTCAGTAAGAATGGATACGGTTTTGATTTTGGCCGGGAGGGAAGGGCTCCATGCTAAGAGAACGCTGAAGGCACATGCCCCTGCGGGTCTTTACTCCCCAAACCTTGTCATAACACAAAATTAAAATGTATTTTAAAATTAACTTTTTATAAGCATATTATATGTTATTTTATCATCTCTATATAATTTCAGAATAAATTACGTATACAAGTATATATGTATTTTAATTTAAATTAGTTTGGTCAATTAACTTATATCCTTTAATTAACTCCTATGTATAATGTATTATTATTTAAACACACATATATGGAGAGAGAGAGAGGAGGGGAGAGGGGAGGGGGGAGAGGGGAGAGGGGAGGGGGGGAAGGGGGAGGGGGGAGAGGGGAAGGGGGGAGGGGGGAGGGGGAGGGGGAGGGGGGAGGAGTACTAGGGATTCAGGAACTCTTCAACTGCTAGAGTTTAAGGAAGAGGAAGCTCTGGAAGCTTTAAAGCAGAATCAGATATAAAACAAAAGTCAAAAACACAGAGCAACTTTCAGCGCCACAGAAGCAAAAAAGGAGTTCTCCAAATGTTATGTTGGGGTTCAGGGGAGCCCTCAGCCCCACTGCGAGGACGTTTCTCCAGGTTCTTGGTCTATCAGGCCCCAAGAATGGGAGAGGAGACAACGGCACAGTGCGCAGTAAATGCCGGACTCTACAGTGTTTGCAGAAAAGCGATTGATTTAGAGTGACAGAGAGCAACAGGAGAAGAAAGTTTCCATGAGAGTGTGGAAGTGGGACTCCAGAGGGGAAACCCAGCAGGGAGAGAGCTCCCACCACGTGGGCGGGGACTCCAGAGCCGGAAATCCGGTGTGGGGGAAGGAGCAGGGGAATTTCCCCGGGGAGAAAGTCCCACCTCCCCAAGTCGCTCTGGCCAATGAAAGGCGTTCCTTTAAACTTCCGCAGGGGTGATTGACTCTTAGTTTCTTCCCGCTCCCCGGGAAATTCAAACATCAAGCGTTAAATTTCCCGGATGAAGACGGATGGGAGGGGGAGAAAATATGGCGCTGGGAAGTTCTTGCCCTAGAAACTGCGGCTCCTTGTGGACCAGGAAAGAGAACACATTCCCTCACAAAGGTGAATTTTTCCTGCCGAGCCCGGACTGTGTCCAGGACCCCAAGAGAGCAGGGACAGCGGCTGGGGAAGGTGAGTCAGGGTTCTGGGCAGACTCGCTCAGGGCAGCGCCTGGGGCTGCCGAGGACCCACGCAGCATGGAGGGCGGTGCTCACGGTCGGCGCGCTGTCTACAGCCCCAGAAAACGTCTTCGCATAAGAGAGGATGTGAAGGGAACCCCAGTGTGTGGATGGCGTGGGGAGCATCCCCTAAACCAAATCACGTGTCCGGGAAACAAGTATTTGGGAATCGCAAAAAAATTAGGTGCTTGGAAACCCAGAGTTAATTTTATCCGCATTCTGAACAATGTAAAATGCTACCCGCCCACTCACACATCCCTTCTCTTTCCTGAATAACCCCAAAGTAGTCCTTGAAAGGGCAATGGGAATTCACATCTGGGCGGGGCAAATGGACCCTAGAGACCAATGCTGAGCAATCCAGACCCTGACGTATGAATGGGAATCAGTAACCAGGGATCAATAGATCTCCAAGGAAAATTGGTAGGATACAGAGGGAGGGCTGCATGTGCGTGTGGATACACTCACACATGTACGTGCACTGTGCACACACCGCACATTCACACATACACACACCACAACTAATCATCTCTGAGAAACAGCGTTAACAACGGAAACAAATGAAAACATTAAAAGGGTTTCCTTTGTATTCTTAGAGTAATTTAAGAGACCATCACACATGTAAAAGACAAATCGTCTTGAAAAAGAAGCTGCCGGAATCCACAGCCCCTGATATCTACGGTGATTTTTGCATTCTTCATTATGACATACAGGGTCTGAAATATTCTGCTGTGCACATGCAGTCCTTTCATTTTGGAAAGTGACATGTCTCTTCTTATGTGACAGAATATGTCAAGATGGGCGTTCTCTCTGTGGCTTGGTAAGTTTAGGAGAGCATCAGGTTTTCAGGTCACAGAGCTTATGCCAGTATTTTATATTTTACCTACTTGTCTAGGACGTCTGGCTCCCTAGAGATGCCACACCAAAGTGCTGCCAACGGAGGGGCCTGAGCAACAGGGATTTATGTCCTCACAGTTCTAGAGGCTGGGATTCCAAAGCCAAGGTGTCGTCCTGCTTAGCTCTTCCCGAAAGCTCTGTAGGACCGCCCGTTTTCGGCCTCTCTCTCTGGCTTGTGGACAGCTGTCTCCTCCCAGTGTCTCTTCACATCTTCTTCCCTCTGTATTCTAAAGAGCACGTGATAGAAGAATTTCTGTAGAAGAACCTCCGTCATACTGGACTAGGGCCTCCCCGGTGACCTCATTTTACCGTGGTTACCTCCATAAAGATCTTGTCTCAAAGTCAGGGCATATTCTGAGGTACTGGGGTTTGGGATTCTCAATATCTTTTTGAGGAGATGCAGTTTGACCCATAACAAGGATATTTAAGTTTTGATCGAAATTTCAGTTAAGTAAAAATAGTTATGATTACATGCCAGTTCAAGAATTGGCTACACTAAGGAGTTTATTTTATTTTATTCTATTTTCCTTTATTCCCCAAAGCTAGTGATTTTAGCATTATTTTCCAAACTTAGCCACTATGAGCTATGCAGTAAAGCAGTGGTAAGAAGTTCATAGCATGTGGTTGTGGCTGACTTGAGATGTGAAAGACATTTACCCAAGAAAGTCACTCAAGAAGAGAAGTATTTACAGTATACTGAAGGCATGGACCACTTTGGAATTCATGAGAGAACAGTTGAGGCTGGTTAATTGTGGACACACTTTAATTTGGTGCCCCAAAAAGCACATTAGGACTTTAGTAGGCTTTGCTTGTCAGGTACTAAGGAATAAGTTGTTATTGATTAATCCACCAGATTGAGGGGTTGTTACTGCAAAACTTCACAGCACCAAGAACTTCAAGGATCAGAGTAGAACAGCGAGAATAAATGGTGGATGGTGCTGAGAGGAATTCGAATATTTCCCTAAACCTTAAATATTTGGTCCAGTTTCTTCAGTTTATATTACAAAGTTCTAAATACATGCTGGATTGGCGTTTATAGTCATATCATAATTTAATATTTTAATTCATGGTAACTATACGGTATTTGGTTTGGTGGCTTTTGTGATTGAGAATAAAATAACTTATGGTTAAAACGTAATTCTTGGTTGGGCTTGGTGGCTCATGCCTGTAATGCCAGCATTTTGGTGGATCACCTGAGGTTAGGAGTTCGAGACCAGCCTGGCCAACATGGGGAAACCCTGTCTCTACTAAAAATATGAAAATTAGCCAGGCATTGGCACATGCCTGTAGTTTCAGCTACTCAAGAGGCTGAGGCAGGGGAATCGCTTGAACCTGGAGGTGGAGGTTGCAGTAAGCCAAGATCACACCACTGCACGCCAGCCTGGGTGACAGAGTGAGATTCCGTCTCAAATAAGCAAACCGAGAATTGTCATTCTTATTTTGTCTACTCCAGAATGCAGTTCATTTTAAGACTCCTCTCTCCCAACTCCAACCATGCAATTTGACTAGGGATGTTTATCCAAACCGTAAAATCCTTTAGCATCCTTAACCAAAGGAAAGCTAACACAGGTTGGAAAAATCTGGGTTCTTATTCTAGTATTTTCCAAGCCAACCCCCCACCCCCGCAAAAGCTAGAAGATGGAAATAACCAGCTCCCTGAATTCAGGCATTTCTGCTTTCCTTTTCAAAGTCTTGCAGATTGGGCACTTGCCTTAATAAAAATACGTTTCTTGCAAATCTAGTTTGATGCAGGCTTCCCTCACTTACAAACAAGTAAGCCGTTGGTGCAAGTACAATGTGCATCCTGTGTACGGAATAGGTTACTCAAATGGGACATTATATAAAATACCCTCAAATAGCTGCAGAAATTGCATAATAATCTCTTATGTTTTAGAATTTAAATTCAAGCCAAGAGAAAGTTCGCAGTAATGTAATAATTTGCCCCCCACGTTCCTCTCGTCATCTCAAATGTTGTTTTACAGTGTGGCATTGGTGTAATTAAGTAGAACGCCCTTAATTTCATCATTAGATGAGCTGCTTTTTATACAGAAAGTTCCTGCATTTGATCAGACTCTAAGGGTGGCAAAGAGTTGTAAAGCAGAAAGTGACATAAATTTTCCCCAGGGTCTAAAGGAAATGGGAAGTTCAAAGCTGATGAGCTTCCCTTAGTCTTGATTCCCCCATTCCTCATCCTGTTTTCACAATGGGGACTTCATACTTTTTTATAGACTTATAGGCAACTGTAAAACCAACTCTTTCAATAATCCACCCCCAAATCTAGATTCTGTAATACATTTCATAACTAATTAGATGGTGAGAAAAGACATTTTTATGAAGTGCCTAATACACACCAATGCTAGACAATGCAATTTACATATATTATCCATTTTAAGCAAAATAATAAACTTGGTCAAACTATTAAGACTACCATTTTACAGATGAAGAGTGCAACATTGGGAGAGGCTAAGAAAATTGGGCAGGCTCACACAATTAGTGAGAGCTGGGATCTGGATGCCTGCCTTTCCTGCATCAGAGCACGTGCTATTTCTACTCTTCTGTGTTGCCTTCCCAAGTGCAAGGATTTTCATTTAGGAGAATTGTTTAGAAAATTCTGAACAGTTAGAAGCTATTTCAGTGCCAATGAATCTTTTGGAGGATGGTCATTCCATTTACATGGAGAGTCTTCCCCTGAGGCTCTGTTTATCATTTCTGTATTTCTAACCTGTCTCATCTCCAAGCACCCCGCTGAAGTGACTTCAACTCTTCACATTGCTTTCCCCTAAGAGATAGTTCAGAATCACTGTTACCACCATCACCACCACCATCACCACCACCATCACCACCACCATCATCATCACCATCACCACCACTACCACCATCACCACAACTACCACCATCACAACCATCATCATCACCACCACTACCACTGCCATCATCACCACCATCACCATTACTACCACCATCACCATCATCACCACTACCATCACAACCAGCATCATCACCACCAACACCATCACCACCATCACCATCACCACCACCATCACCATTACCACCACCATCATCACCACTACCATCACAACCATCACCATCACCACCAACACCATCACCACCATCGCCATCACCACCATCATCACCATCGACACCAGTACCACCATCACAACCACCATCACAACCACCATCACCACCACCATCACCACCACCATCACCATTACCATCACCATCACCACCATCATCACCATCAACACCACTACCACCATCACAACCACCATCACAACCACCATCACCACCACCATCACCATTACCACCACCATCACCACCATCATCACCATCAACACCACTACCACCATCACAACCACCATCACCACCACCATCACCACTACCATCACAACCATCACCAACACCAACACCATCACCACCATCGCCATCACCACCATCATCACCATCAACACCAGTACCACCATCACAACCAACATCACCACCACCATCACCATTACCATCACCATCACCACCAACACCATCACCAATACCATCACCATCACCACCAACACCATCACCACCATCACCATCACCACCATCATCACCATCAACACCACTACCACCATCACAACCACCATCACAACCACCATCACCACCACCATCACCATTACCACCGCCATCATCACCACCACCATCACCAATACCATCACCATCACCACCATCACCATCACCACCATCATCACCATCAACACCACTACCACCATCACAACCACCATCACAACCACCATCACCACCACCATCACCATTACCATCACCATCACCACCACCATCACCACCACCACCATCACCACCATCATCACCATCAACACCACTACCACTATCACAACCACCATCACAACCACCATCACAACCACCATCACCACCACCTTCACCATTACCATCACCATCACCACCAACACCATCACCACCACCACCATCACCACCATCATCACCATCAACACCACTACCACCATCACAACCACCATCACCATTACCACCACCATCACCACCATCATCACCATCAACACCACTACCACCATCACAACCACCATTACCACCACCATCATCACCACAACCACCATCACCACCACCATCACCATTACCATCACCATCACCACCAACACCATCACTACCATCACCATCACCACCATCATCACCATCAACACCACTACCACCATCACAACCACCATCACCATTACCACCACCATCATCACCACCACCATCACCAATACCATCACCACAAACACCATCATCACCATCACTACTGCCACCCCGATCACCACCAGCATCATTATCACTACCATTACCACTACAACACCATCACCATCATTGTCACTATCACCACCACTACCTCTTCTAACACCATTACCATTAATACCAACATCACCACCAATACCAACACCAACCCCATCACCCACCAACACCACTACCACAATCATGACAGTGGTTTAATTAACGTCTGGTTTTTGCCCAGTGGACTCAGATTTTGAATCACCTTCAACCCAGTGGGCCACAGAACGTTGTTTACTCTTCATCCATCTATATCTCACCTTGCCAGGACCACCAACAATTTAAAGAACAACCAAAGTCCTTTATATTGTATTTCCATTTTATGTAAATATGATTCATAGGCTGCATCAATTCTTTAAGGGTCATCCTGAATCAGGTCTTTCCGTGTGTTTTATTTTGTGCATGTTCGGTTCTCATTCTCTTTTTCTCGTGGGGAGTTTCCTCTTCCTCTGACATCCCTCCCCCATCACTGGCTACGGTCTAAGATAATTTCTTCTCTTGAATGCTTTGGTTTGTGCTTTGTGTTTGAATAGCCAAAAGTAAAATCAATTCTTCCTTGACTCCTAACGGCAGCCTACCAGGGAAGAATTTCATGGGTCCTAAAAAAAAAAAGAGTTCCAAGTCTTCCCTGGGTATGCTCTTTTTTCTTGTTTTTCAGTAGTCTTGGGAAAAAGTTATTTGCCCAGTGGATGATTCGGGTAAATGTGCTCTTGTTCGCATAACTAATTAGAAATAGGTAGTAGATTATTAGCAAAGTGAAGCCACCTTCCTTTCACACAACGGGGAGGACACTTCAGTAACTTTAGCTGATCTGATTGCATGGTCAGCTGGCCCCCATGTGGGAAGCATGGCAAGCCGGCCTCCCACAGGAGAATCGCTGTGTGGCATTTGTCTCTCTCTTCCCCTCACTTTCTTCTTAAGAAC